TACCGGCACACCAGCTACTCCTCAGCCACCTGTGCGTAGGCACCAAGGGGCAACTGCCGGGTGGGCAGCAGGGGAGCTGGGGGGGAGGCAGGAGGGGGGGTCTGTCAGCTTCTCCCAGCCCCACAGCCCTTCCCCAGCTGCTCAGGGCTTTGGCTCATGCCAGCTCTCCCCCACAGCCGACTGTGAGACTGATGGGTACCTGAGCTCCTCTGGCTTCCTGGACTCCCCGGACCGGGCCCACCGCAGCTTTGTGGCTGTGGACCCCACCAGCCCCCCACCCACCCGGCCCGTGCGCTGCTTCCCCACGGTGAGCACGGCCCCATGGGGTGGGGAGGGGGCTCAGGGCAGCCGTGGCAGCAGCTCACCCCCTCCTCTCCCTGCAGAGCATCGCCGTGCAGCTGCCCACCGAGCATTTGCCCCCTGCCAGTGGCTTCTCCTCCTCGGTGGACAGGTGAGGCTGGGGGGTCGGGCGGGGAGCGTGGTGCTTGGGAATGGCCACGCTGATGCTCTGGAGCTGGGGCTTCCTGCAGCTACACCTCGGATGTGGCATCGGGCATGAGTGATGGCTACGAGGGGCTGTCAGCCAGCGAGCAGAGCACCAAGCTGCCACCCAAGAGAGCCTCGGGGAAGCTGCTGAGACGCCGAGCCCGGTCCAGGTTGCGCATCACCAACGTGAGTGCCACAGGGGCCAGGCAGGGGCCAGGAAGGTGCCAGGAAGATGCCAGGTGGGTTCTCCTAGGCTGAGCCAGCCCTGCTGCCCACAGATCTCCGACAAGAACGACCGAGTGGTGGAGTGCCAGCTGCAGACCTACAACAACAAGATGGTGACCTTCAAGTTCGACCTGGATGGGGACAACCCGGAGGAAATTGCAGCCGCCATGGTGAGAGCAGGGGCAGGGTGAAGGTGGGGCCTGCCTGGCTGGGCTGGGTGCTGACTGACCCCTCCACCCTCAGGTCCACAATGAGTTCATCCTCAAGTCAGAGAGGGAGAGTTTCATCAACCGTATCCGGGACATCATCCACCGCGTGGAGACCCTGCTCCGCAAGGACGGCCGCGGTGGCGCCGAGCTGCCCAAGGGCCCCGAGGCTGACAGTGCTCTGGGCAGCCCCGTGAGTGCCAGCCTGGCCCTGCCAGCGCTGGGGAAGCTGCTGCTGCTGCTGCTGAGCATGGCTTGGGGTGCTGCCTGGCCCCAGGGAGTCCGGGGTGGGGGCTGGGGTGCAGGGTCCTCCTGTGGTCGCTTGCCCGCTCCTGTGACAAGTCAAGGTGCTCCCCAGCACAGAAGAGACTCCAGCTCCTGTCCCCACAGGTGGTGGGGCCAGGGTGGGGCCCAGTGGGGGCTTGGCACAGCCTGGCTGGGGCCTCTGCCCCGGTGCTGGGCTCAGCTCGCCCTTCTCGCAGGTGGACCTGCAGCTGCAGGGGCTCTCGCGCTCCATCTCCTCCTCATCCTCACTCAGTGGTACGTCTGTGCCCCTGTGCGGGCCCTTCCCGCCTCCCCAAGCCTCGTGCAGGGCAGGTGATGGCCTCAGCCAAGCCCTGAGGGTCTCAAAGGACATGTCCTGCCCTGGCTGAGCCTGGCTGTCACCCCTTGGCACAGACCTGAGCTGCACCAGTCCCAGCCTGGCTGTGCAGTCCCCCGTGCTGCCGCTGCTGAGCCGCTCCCCGTCAGAGACCAACCTGGCCAGTCCCGCGGAGCCTCCGCCAGCCCCGGGGCCACTCGGCTCCCCCACAGGTGCCCGTGCTGGCAGGGTGGGCGTGCTCATTGCCCTGGGGCTGCCAGCTGCTCCCTGGGCAGGGGTGGGAGGTGGCCCTGGGGGCTGCTCCTGACACTTCTGTCCCTGCAGGCTCAGCGCAGACCTGGCCCCTCGTCTCCATGACTCCCTCCTGGCTCACGTCGTCACCAGCACTGACACCAACGCTGACTCCCCAGGGGACCCCCGGGGGGCCTGTCCCCCCTGCCCTGCCCCAAGCCCTCCTGTCCCCCCAGCCTGTCCCCACATCCCCTGTTCCCCGTGAGCCCAGCAGCCCCCTGAGCCCCGCTGTGACCAGCACACCCTTGTCCCCCACTGCCCCCCTCTTGTCCCTGGCCAATGTCTTCTCCCTGGCAGTGATGACCGTGGCCCACACTGTCTCCTCCATTGCCAGCTCAGGTGGGCACCTGTACCCAGCACTGCTGCCACGGCCGCAGAGTCTTGCCCTGGGTGCCCCACGCTTTGTCTACCCTGACCCCACCAGCACAGACAAGCCAGTCCCACCTGGCAGTGGGACCCCAGAGTCGGTGGGAGCTGCTGTCCCCACTGCTGGGGTGCCCATACCCTCCCTTCCCTTGGCACCAGCCCCAGCGTGCCCCCCGGGCAGCGAGGCCGTGGGGAGCCCTGTGCAGCTGCTGAGCCCATCCACACCTGGGAGTGCAGAGGGCAGCACGGTGAGTGTGGCTGTACGAGGGCTGTCCAGGTGGAGCTCAGCGTCAGCAGGGCTGGGTGGTTGCTGCAGGTGCTGCACTGGGATGGGATGGAGCCTCATGGCTTGTGGAGCCCCTGGGATGCAGGGAGGGCTGAGCAGGTGGCAGATCCCAGGGCACAGAGGGGAGGACGGGAGATGTGGATGTGGCAGGACCTGGGGTGGGGCTGCTGATGTGCTCAGGTGCCCACAGGTGCTGCCGGGTGCCCCCAAGCCCAGCCACTCTCTGATCATCTCGGAGGCACCAGCCCCCAGCGTGCCCAAGGCGCAGCTCTCGCCCATCAATGAAGGTAAGGCGGGGCAGGGCCGGGGCTGTGCCGGCGCCAGGGCACCGCAGTGCCCCGCCAGCCCTGTGCCCTGAGCCCACCAGCCGCCCCTGTGCCCCGCAGAAGCCAAGCCGCAGGTGCTGGGCCGGTTCCAGGTGGTGCCAGCCAAGGAGCTGGCCGTGAGCTCGGCGGGGCTGGGCAGCAGCGACGGAGAGCAGCGGGGCCCGGAGCCGGCAGCGAGCGGCTCCCCGCCTCCCCCGGGGCCCGACACCAGCCACAGCTCGAGCAGCGACTCGGATGCGGCGGCGGAGGCGGCGGAGCGAGGCCCCAGGGCTGAGGAGGTGCCAGCCGAGGCGGGCACCGCGCCGGCCGCGCCGCCGGGCAGCGACCCGGGCGAGGGCCCGGGGGAGGAGAGCACCGAAAACGTGCCGCAGGCCATGCTGAGCCAGGTGTGGCTGAGCTACTCCCGCAGCTTGTCCTACGTGAGCAGCGACGACACCGAGAGCGAGGACGAGGAGATCTGGGAGGAGCTGCAGAACCTGCGCCAGAAGTGAGCCGGGGCTGGGCTGCACCCGGAGGCCACCCCTGCTCCCACCCAGCCCGGGGGGAGCTCGCTGCCCCTTCCCCGGCCCCGCTGCCAGCCCCTGTCCTGTCCCCAGGCACCTGGCGGAGGTGCAGCTGCTGCAGAGCGCCCAGAAGAAGGAGATCGAGGAGCTGTACCTGCGCATGGGGAAGCAGCCGCCGCTGGGCATCGTCTCGCCCGCTGCCATGCTGTCGGGCCGCCAGCGCCGCCTCTCCAAGGGCAGCTTCAACCCGTCCCGCCGCAACAGCCTGCAGCGCCTGGAGCTCGCACCGCCCGCAGGTGCCGCCCCGCTCCCGTTCCCGTTCCCGTTCCCCGCGGGCACCGGGGCCGCGCCGCCCGCCGTGCCCTCACGGCCCTGTCCCCGCAGGCATCATGCGCCGGAACTCGCTGAGCGGCAGCAGCACGGGCTCGCAGGAGCAGCGCCTCAGCAAGGGCGTGACCTTCGCCGACGAGCTCGGGCGGGCGGTAAGGGCAGGGCGCGATGCCCGGGCGCTCCCGGCCGGGCCCGCGGCGCTCGGTTCACGGCCGCTTCTCTCCGCAGTAGCCGGCTGGCCAGGAGTGACTCCGTGAACTACCTCACCCAAGTGCCTGCGCCGCGGGGCCGTGCTCGCACCCACAGCTGTGTGCCCGCTGTCGCCAGCCCGAGGTGTCCCCGTCGCGGGGGCTGCGAGGAGCCGAGCCCGCCCCGAGGATCCCCGGCTCGTCCCAGCCCAGCCCCGGACCCCGCCCTCGGCCGCAGCGCCGGGATGCGGGAGCGCTGTGATACGAACTGGCGTTGGAAAAGCGTTTTCATAAACACGGATTGAGTACAAACCGTGTCTGGTGCGTGTCTGTGGGGCGGGACGCGCGGCTGCTCGCCTCGCCGTGTGAGGACACAGAGCACAGCAGAAAATCCCCCGCGAGCCGGGCTCAGCCCGAGAGATCCGCGACAACGGGCGCTGAGGCGTTCTCCAGTGAGAGATTTATTGCGGGGAGCGCTGGCACCGGGGCGCCCCGTCCTTGCCGCGGGCACGGCCCCGGGCCGGGCTCTGCCGGCCTGCGGGAGCCCCCGGGGCCTCCTCCCGGCATCGCAGAGCACGGGGCCGGCCCGAACCCCTCGGGCGCATCTCGCGGCCCGTCCTGCCTGGCGCGGGCGGCAGCTCAGTCCCGGGCCGGGCCGGGCCGGGCGCTCCCCGCTCAGCTCGCGGCGCCCTCGGCCCGCGCCCGGGCCCGCGCCCGCGCCGCCTCCGCCTCCTGCTCCAGCTCGTCCAGGAACCGCTCCTGCGACACCGAGTAGAAGGTGTAACCGTCTGCGGGGGGAGTTAAGGAAAAGCAGCGGGCGCGGCCCCGGAGCCCCCCGGCCCCTCGGTGCCCCGGAGGATACAGATGCCAAACGTCACCGCGCCGATGCCGAGAGCCAGCAGCACGTTGCGGCTGCGGAGCCGGCGCTGCAGGGCGCGCTGGCGCTGGGCGTGCTCCACCTGCGCCATGAGGCGGCGCTGCTCGGGGCTGAGCCCCGGCTCCCGGGCCGGGTCGATGCGCCGCGCGAACGCCGCCTCCCCGGGCTCTCCCGGCGCCGCCATCTTCCCCCGCCGTCTCCGCGCGGAGACGTGACGCCACATCCGGCGAGGGGGCGCTGGCCAATCGGAGGAACGGAGCGGCGCGCGGCTGGTGTCGGTCGCGGCATCGGCGCGTGATGATTGGCGGAGCGGGGTCACGTGATGGAGGAACCGGGCCGGGGCCTGAACCGGGCCGGGGCCTGCCCAAAGCCCGGCCCGGCCCGGCCCCGAGCGCCCGGCCCGTCCCGGTGCCGGGAGGAGCTGGCGCGGCCGTGTCCCGGCCTGCCCCGTGGCGCGGTGCAGTCACTGCTCCCGGCCTGCCCCGCTCATGGCGTCCCCGGTGCCGGTGCCGGTGCCGGGCCGGGGCCGTGACTCGGGGCCCGTGTTCAGCGGGGTTGCTCCCGAGGTTATGGAGGACACCCTGATGCACCTGGCCGCGGAGAACGAGCGGCACCTGAGCGCGCTGCCGGAGCAGGCCGGGCTCTTCAAGCACACGCGGATCGTGGGTGAGAGGCGGCCGGGGCAGGGCCCGCTCCGCCCGGGGCAGGGCCCGCTCCGCCCGGGCCCGGCGGCCCGCGGTGACCGCCTGCTCCGCTTCTTGCAGAATTCATATTCCTTCTGTCTGAAAAGTGGCGCTTGGACCAGCCCACGCGGTACCAGGCAGTGGAGCTGCTTGAACGGTAATAAAGAGTTCTAAACACTGAGCACATCTCCCGTTCCCGGCCGGGGTTTCATTGCCAGCCCTGCCCCTCTCTGTCCCAAAACCACACAGCATCGATGTGCTGTCTCCTCTTTCATTTCATCCAAATTAGCAATTCAACATATACTCTTTTACATACATATACACACATATATAAAAAAATACCTCCCGTTCCCGGCCGGGGTTTCATTGCCAGCCCTGCCCCTCTCTGTCCCAAAACCACACAGGACTGATGTGCTCCGTCTCCTCTTTCATTTCATCCAAATTAGCAATTCAACATATACTCTTTTACATACATATACACACATATATAAAAAAATATATATGTATATATATAGTAAATATTTGTGTCTATATGGTGTATATACACATAGAAATATATATACTATATGTATATATAGTATATATACACATATATGTACATATAGTAAATATATGTGTGTGTGTATATTTTATGTACAGCACATAAAATGTATATATATAGTACATACACTATATATAGTATATGTATATATATGTACAGTAATCCAAATTATTTCTACATATACTCATTTATACACATATATACACATATACATGTAATATATATTATATAGAAGATAATTATTATATAATATATACATATACTATATGTATATATTATGTATAGTAATCCAAATTATTTTTTCTACATACTCATACATATATATACACATATACATATAAATATAGATTATATATTATATATAATTATTACTATATATTTTATATATTATATACATATAGCATATGTGTATATATATGTATAGTAATCCGAATTATTACTTTTACATATGCTCTTATACATGCACATATACATATAAATATATATATAACTATATATAGTATATATTATATTATATTATCTATTATATATATTATATACATATAGTATATGTATATAATATGTATAATAAACCAAATTATTACTTCTACATATACTCATACCTATATATACATATATATACACACACACAAATATAAATATATATGTATATATGGTATATTAAAAATATATGTATATATACATATATATAATATATATACACACATAATATCTGTGTATATATAAATATATATTTTATATATACACATATAAAATATTTATATATGTATATTTATATATACACATATATATACACACACATATATTATATACACATGTATGTGGAATTGCCTTTGTTCCCTTTTCTGAGCAGCCAGATCCACGCTCTGAGCAGCTGTGGCTTTTGTAGGTTCCTGATCAAGCAGGTAGAGCAGGTGTGTGATGGCAGAGGCAGCACCACCAGCCGTGGCCAGGGCCAGAGGAGCAGCTGGAGCTCTGTGAGGGATCACATCACCAACACCTTTGTCCTGAGGCTCGTGTCCTGTGTGCAGCTTGCCAGCAAACTCTCCCTGCACTACAGTGTAAGCCAGCTCAGCCTGTCCTTGCTCTAGCAGCGTGGTTAAAGCTGCAGTGTTTTAATCTCTCTTAAAAATAGATTTCCTTTTTGGAAGACAGTAGTGATAATGAGATGCCAAGGACACCACATTCCCTTTAGGGTAGGTAAATTGCTGCTCATCCAGTATCAATTTGCTGGGAAGTGTTCCCAGTTCTGGGGGCATAAAAAAGGGCAGGAAAATCTCAAAACTGGTGTGTCCACAGGGGCTCACACCTGCCTGGGGATGGTTTGTTGAGCTGAAACCTGTGGGCAAGGTCAGAGCTGGATTTCCCACACCAGCTCCAAGGACCCGTGCTCAGCAGGAGCAGAGAGGTGACAGAGCACTGTGTTCCTGCCTTACTGCCTGGAAGACCTTTTGTCTCTTTTTTTCCTCTTCAGAGAGTGACCAGTGACACAGCTTTAACATTTCTGCAATCCTTAAAATACTCCTACACTAAACAGGAATTGCTGGAGTCGGAGCTTGCTGTTTTAAACACTCTGCACTTCCACATCAATGTGTCAACCCCCTTGGCCTATGTGGAATTGCTCCTGGAGGTTCTAGGTGAGAGTATCAGTCAGGGAGAATGAGAAGGAAATTTTTTAGTAGGGTCACAAAGCTGCTGCTGGTCTGAAATGTTTCATATTACAGATTTTTGCATGTAGAACTGTTCAGATTGTCCAGAGCTTCACTTTTTAGATGAGAACTTTGTCCTTTGTAGAATGTTGTTGGACAGCCAGTCGTGACTCGTTCAGTAAAAGATTAAGAGTTTAAAGCCCCCAAATATGGTGCTAGGCCACATTTTCCACAATCACTCACCATCTTCTTGGCCCAGTTCTGATAGCCTGAATTTCAGAGTGACATTACCTTGAGGCTGAGGGATCCTGTGGCATTCAGAGACAGGGCAGAATTCCCTCTCCCTTACAGTACCCAAGACTCCTAGCTCAATGTAGTGACCCAAAATGTGGCACTGATGGTGTGATCTCTGCCAGGATACAATGGCTGCTTGCTTCCTGCCAAGCCCTTACACCAGCTGTGTGTGCAGCTGCTGGACTTCTGCTACCTGACCAGAGAGACCATCTATGACACCCTGCTGAAGACTGCCATCGACAACTCCACACCAAGCAAACTGCAGATGTAAGACCTGACAATGACTTAAAATAATAAAAATAACCCTTTGAAATTAAAACCCTTGAAAAAGCTAATAAAATAAATTCCCTTTGAAATTAAAACCCTTGAAAAAGCTAATAAAAAAACCCCTTTGAAATTAAAACCCTTAAAAAGCTGATAAACAGCAGCATAACTCTCATTATGCCATTTTGGGGGCATGTTTTAAAAAATAATTTGGGGGGGACAACATTCATCATTGTTTCTAAATGAACCAGTTCAAAGCAACATGCTTTTCCACAGCTCCTTCAAGGGCAAGGAAAGTGTTTCATTTGGTTAAAATCCAGCCTTGCACTGTCAGTTCCAGCTCCTGGTGATGGTTTTTGGCTGGCCTGAATAGACCATCATGTCCTGGGCACTGGCATGCACCAGCAGGTGCTTTTGAACTGTGAAGCAGCATTTTACAGCTGAACACACTTTTCCTCCTGCAGAGCCAAGTTTTTAACAGTGAAGGAAGATTTCATGCTGCTGGCTGTTGGAGTCATCAGTACAGGTGTGTTCATCCTGAGCCCCGGGCACTGGGAGCAGGTACAGTCACTGCTGAAGGCTCCACGGGAACACAGTGCCAAGGTGGTTTATCTGCTCCAGCACAGCTGGGGCTGCACTGGGAGGGGCACCTCTGTCTTTTAGCACAAAGCATGTGGGTTTTGTCAGAGCTGAGGGCATGGGGCAGTTCTGTGTGCCACGTCTGTTGTGTTATTTTTTGAGTTAGCTCAAAGAGAAACTCATTACACTTGAGATAGCTTAGCTGCTTTGAACAGTATAAAATTAGTAGGATGGCTTTTGAGGTAGTGTTGGAAATAGAAAAAGGTTTAATAAAGGGCAAAATAACAAAGCTCTTACAGAGAAAAACCGAGTTAGGGGTAAGAGGTTGTTGCTCCTGCTAAAACACCCCACAAAAGCAATTATTTCCTTTGTTCTCTTCCTTTCCTAGTGAATTACCTAGGCAGGACCTCTTGGCCTCTGTCCAGCTGGACAGCTCCAGGTGTGAGGTGAAGTCCCAAAGGTCCTATGAGGTGTCTTTTGTACCAAATTGTGAGAGAAACTTCTGGGCTTTTTGCCTTTTTAAGCAGACAAAGAGTAATTTAGTCACTCCATCAACAGGGGGCACATTGCTACAAGTGTCCTCCCCTTTAGTGCTTCCCGGGCAGAACAAAACCCCACAGGCAATGTTTCACTGGCAGGCAGAGCAGCAACCTCATGGAGCAATTACTCTTGTCAGTCTGTAAACTCACAGCCTTTGGGAGTTCTTTTCTTTTCTCCAGGTTGTGGAGCATTTGAACTGCATCACTGGCATCACTCCCCAGAGCATCCTGGAGTTCTCCTACGCCGTGGTGAGGCGCATTGTTGGCAGCACCACACCTGAGCAGCACCGTGGCACCAAATCTCCTGAGGACAGGATTCCTCCTCAGAAATAGAACCACCCCGGCCATCCAGGCAGCAGCAGCAGGAATTGTCACGCTGCTGGGAACTGTCCCTCCTCTGTGACACTGCCCAGGCACCCAGCACAGCTCAGGGTTACCTGAATTCTGTCACATCTTAATTAGCAAAGCTCGTCCTGCCAGGCATCACAGTCATGCTCTGAAAGGAGGCCCAACAGCACCACAGTGTTTAGAAATGCCCTAAAAGCTTGATTGTAACAGCTGCATTTTTAAATTTTGAACCTAAGCCCCCTTTAACCAGAGACCCCTCAGAGTGGCTGTGTTTGAAAGGTGCTGCCCTGGCTGGTGGGACCAGCTCTCACAAATGGGGCTGGTCTGTCTCCTGCTGCTTTTATAAAACCCCTGCCCCAGCTGCCTGTGATTGTCCCCTCTGTGTCCCCTCTGTGCCAGCACCTCCTGCCCTGCCACAGCCAGCAGTGTTGTGTGAGGACAGAGAAGGGCCAGTGCTGTGACTGGCACCACAGCAGTGCCCAGCCTGGGTGTCCCTGCCAGTGCCAGGGGTTTGTGCTGTGCCAGGCACTGCTGGAAACACCTGGAATAATTTCATTGTTTCCTCAGCACAGCCCTGTGCAGGAGCAGGCTGCAGGAGGGATTGCAGTGCTGTAATGGTATCAAACCTTGCTAAGTGCAGCAGCACAAAGAAGGGCTGATATGACTTAGAAAATACTTTATTTTAAACTCTTTAATTAATGACCAGGCAGAGTTCTGGCAGTTTTCCCACATTACTCCCCGTGTTTTTAACGTCCTGCTTTTCCAACCTTGCATTAGCTGTAACAGAGCAGCATCAAACTGATGCTCATTTGACAATGATTTATGTGCATGGCCATAAACCCCAAAAACAACAGTTTAGAATCCATTTAATAGCTGGGTTTTATTCTGTTCAGCTCGATGATACAACTTTGCATATTGCTTTTCTATAAACTACTTGTAATAATGGCATTTTAAAATAAAGTGTCTTGTGGATTTTTGGTATTGTAAACATTTTGTACTGGTTAATATTAAGAGACATCTGAATTTGCCTTTCTTCAACACAAAGCAGACACTCCACAGCTGCCAGGCCAAGTTCTGATCACAGTTACTTGTTATAGAATTGGGATGAGACCCAGGCCAGGCCCCATTTCAGGTTAGTTAACATGAATTTTAGTGCTTTTGTCCACTGCTCTTCAGAGTTAAATTGTGTTTTAATTGAGTAAGAGCCACCACTGCCTCCTGTGTCTTCGATCTTTCCTTTCTCCACGTCCATCCTGTATCACACACAAGCTTTAATTAGTGTATTCCCACAGCAAACATTTAATCTCAGTATGACACCAAGCACTACATTTTAAATCTGACAATAACACTATCCTGTTTTTAAAGGGACTTGAGCAAAAGCCTCAGGACTCCACCCAAGGGCCTGGCTTTAACTTTCAATTAAAGTAGCAAACACATCATTACAAATTCCAGATGATTTCTGAAAAATCAGGGCTGAAACAGCAAGCAGTGCTAGGGGAGCATACAGGGCTGAATCTGACAGTTTTGTGGCAACACTCACCTGTAAGGCAAACAAAACCGAGTTTCACCTTTCTCCACTTCCTCTTTGAACTGCTGCACACAGTCCAGGAATGCCACCATGGCATGATCAAACTTATTGTCCCAGAAGAACCTCAACCCTCCAGAGCAGTACAGGGGAAGCTCCTGGAAAAGAGATTTGTATCAGGAACACCAAGCACTTGTTTTTGATATGGCCACTGCAGCTTTTTAACCTCATGTGATGCTTAAACTTGTCACGGGGTGCTGAGAAATGGCTTGTGGCACAGGGCAAGTGTGACTGGTTTTGTGCAAGTGCCTGCCATGTGCAGGCATGTGTTCCTGACTTCCACCAACCCCAAATCATGCCATCTACCTGCCAATCACCCCAAAACATGCCTCTGCCTCTGGCCAGGTGTGCCATTCAACAGTTCTGTCCCTTTTAACACTGCTGGCTGGCAGCACCAGTGGCTTCACACAGGATGTGAGATGTCACCATGCTGGAGGAGCTGGGGCAGCCAGCTTTGCTGGATTCCACATCCACAGAGACCAAGCTTTGCTTCCTGCATCCCCAGTGTGACCAGGGCTCTGGCACTCAAAATCAGTGTCCCATGATTTGTAAGGGATCCCTTACCTTGGATTTGTCTGTGAGGGACTCCAAATAGGAGTGGTTGCCATAGGGGACGAGGCGGTATCTGAAAAAAGGAGACAGAATTCACAGGCACCCGAGTCTGCCCCTTCCTCTGGGCCATAAATGACCTGTGTGTGGTTTTAGGTACCTCTGAAACTTCAGGCCCATTTTGTTGGCCAGGGCATGCAGCAGCAGCACAGTCTGCCCCCAGGCAGCGTTGATCTCATTCCATTCCACAGGAACGCTGGGGAGGCGGCCAAGCCTGAAGTTATTTATTGTGCCAAACTGCCCACTGTGCCTGTGATAAGAAAAAATATAAATAAATGTGCTAGGCTGGGAAAAGCTCCTGGCCTGATAACCAAATAGGGGCTGTGTCCCAGCAGCACAGCACACACAGTGCCAGCCAAGCACAAGGAGGGTTTGGGGCTGTTCTTAACAAGTGTATGTAAACACCAAACACTTGATCTCTTTTTGTCACAAAAACACAACAAAAACCCCCAGCCAGCCTCTCCAAGCTGCCTGCTCTGTGAACCCTAATGCCAGTGTCACTGCTGGCTGGCACAGGGGGTCCCAAAGTGTTACTGGGACTGGTGAAGGAGCCATTTCCCAGTCCCACAGCCTGGCACACTTTACTGAGCTGCCATGCCTGGGACATGGCATTCATTGCTTTGCTGGGAGGTAACTGTGAGCTGGCTTGCACCTTCCCTGTCAAATGCAGGGACTTAAACAGCTTCAACTGCAGATTCCAAGAAAATGGATGCAATATCCCAGTGTCTACGTTACCAGATGTGAAAGGTAGCATTGAACACGTTGGTTTTCTTTAGTTTATCCAACTGCATCTGGGCATAGCGCATTTGGTTGTCCACACTTTTCAGCTCATCATCCAGCTCCAGCTGCTGCCTCTTGAACTCACAGTATTCCTTCTGGTACCTTTGAGCAGAAACAAGACAAGAAGTGCTGAGTGCTGGCTCCTGCCTCAGAGTGACAGCTTGGTCTCACCACCTTTCCTTCTGCACACAGCAAGCCACTGGCACTTGGGCACATTTACAGGTTTCTCATGTTACCATTTATGTGTTTCTCATTAATTTTTTGCCTCCAAGCCCTGCCACAAGCTGCAGGAGCAGCTCACTCACTGAGCCTCCTCCTGCTCCAGCCGCTCAGCCTCTGCCCTGACTTTCTCAAAGTCCTCAGCCACAATCTTGCGGTTCTTCTCCACATCCTCCAGCTCCTGAATCAGCTGCTCCTCCTCCAGTGCCAGCTCCTTCAGCTCTGCCTGCAGCTTCTCTTTATCATCCTCATTCATCTGCTCCAGTATCTCCAGGCACCTCCTAGAGGAGAACACCAGGATTAGCAGAAGAGGTGTGCTGGGAGTCCCAGCCCCGTGGCAGCCCCTGCCACTGCTGAGCTCTGCACACTGACTGTGCCTCAGGCTCTGCCACCCCTGCATCACTCACTTGTAGTTCTGGCACTCGTTCTCCGTGATGTTGAGCTGTGTGTCCAGCTGGTCCAGCAGAGTGTCCGTGCACTCCTCACACAGAGGGTGATCCACATCTGTCTGCCCAGACATGATGTCAAAGAGGTCCCCAGTGACCTGGAGGAAGGGCTCACATTACTGCAAGGGAAACCACAGGCAGCTGCCTGCTGCTCTTCAGCAGCTCCAGTTGGCAGGAATCTTCTTTGCAGGCCAAATATTGATTAAAATCCTCTATCTCTGCTCAACTACTCACCAACCAAGCTCCTAGAAGGCAAATGCTATGGGAAACTTTGCAGTTTAGTTTCGGAAGGGCTCACATTACTGCAAGGGAAACCACAGGCAGCTGCCTGCTGCTCTTCAGCAGCTCCAGTTGGCAGGAATCTTCTTTGCAGGCCAAATATTGATTAAAATCCTCTATCTTTGCTCAACTACTCACCAACCAAGCTCCAGAAGGCAAATGCTATGGGAAACTTTACAGTTTAGTTTTGCAGAGCATCAGGAAAAACTGATGCTGTGCTCCCAAGGATCAGAGTTTGCCCACTTGCCTTCAGCCTCCTGCTGAGGTTCTCCATGGTGCCACCATCCGAGGCCTCTCCGATCAGCGTGAAACTGTTGGCACTTTCTGTTGACATCATTCTTGGAAAGAACGTGACTGACGTGAGCGCCAAGCGCGGGGGGAGGCAGTGCCAGCGCCAGCCCAGAACCTGGGGCTGACTCGGGGGAAAGGGAGCAGGGGGCTGGGGTAACCCGTGTTTGAGGGCTCTGCCAGGTTTGCTGCCCCAAGGACCGTGCAGTTCTGTGCTCACACCGACACGGGGCGCGGGGGAAGCTCACAGGAGCCACCCACGGCCGGGGGGACATTGCCGAGGCGCTGCCCCAGCGCAGGCTCAGGCTGCCCGCAGGGACAGCCCGGGCTCCCAGCGGGGCCGGGCCCGCCGCTGTACCTGGCCGGCGGGATGAACCTCCGGGACACGCCATCCTGCCGGTTCTCCACGAAGGCTTCCTGGAGGCACGGAAACACCGTCACGGGCAGGCCCGGCGGAGCCGCCGCCGAGCCCCGCCGCCGAGCCCGCCCGCACCTCCGTCAGGGCGCTCTCCTCCTCGTGCGGCTCCCCGGGCCTGGCCGGCGCGGCGCTCACCAGCGGGGCTGTGGGAGACACGGCGTCAGCCGGGCCCGGGGCTAGGCCCGAGCCGCGGCGCCCCGCCCCGCCCCGCGGCGCTCGGTACCGGTGAGCTCCTGGATGGTGAGGCGGTCGAGGACCTTGAAGGAGGTGTCGAGCTTGAGCGGCTGGCAGCAGCGCTGGCACACGAAGCTGACGTGCGCGGTGCCGCCGCCCGCCCGCGCTGCCTCCATCGCGCCGCCCGCGCGCGCCCCGCCACGCGGCCCTGCAGCGCCGGGGGGCGGGGATGCGGCCGGGGCCGGGCTGGGCCGGGCCCGTGTGCCGGGGGCGGCCCGGGGATCCTTCCTTCCCCCCGGGGATCCTTCCTTCCCCCGGCGGATCCTTCCTTCCCCCCGGGGATCCTTCCCCCCGCGGATCGTTCCTTCCCCCCGGCGGAGCTGCGCGGTCTCCAGCTCCCCGGGGCCGGGGCCGGGCGGGCGGAGCCGCCGCGGGCAGCTCCCGCTCGGTGCTGGCGGGGCTCCTCCCGCTCCCCCGGGAGAACGGGAGCGCGGTGCGCCCCGGGCCCCGCCGTGCGGAGTAGCCCTGACGCGTCCCCGTTTCCTTCTGTAGGTTGACTCCTTCAGGGAGCGGATCACGAGTGAGGTGAGTGCCGCGGCTCGGGCAGGAAGGAGGTTTGTTTTGGCCTTATCTTTCTGACACACTCGGTTGTGGGCTGAGCCTGCCCTGGCAGCTTAGCAACAGCCAGCAACACCCAGCTGGTGCCCTCACCACTGCAGTGGGCCTCGTGGCTTTCTCCTCACCTGGGCTTTGTTTGGTGCTGGCAGCAGGAAGCACTGGGTTCTCTTTGTTTCCTGCATGTGCACAGATGATTTCCCTGCTGGTGGGAGCCACGTGGCTTTCCTCATCACTGTTTGTTCTTTCTTTCTTTCTTAGGCTGAAGACCTCGTAGCAAACTTTTTCCCAAAGAAGCTGTTAGAACTCGATGGATTCCTGAAGGTAGGGTGTGCCCTGTGCTGTGTGTCCTTTTGCACTTCCAGCTGCATTTTGGAAGTGCAGTGGCAGGTCTCTCCAGGGGTGTTTTCCGTGCATTTCCCCTTGCTGCAGGGACACAAGGCAGCAGCTGCAGTGCTGCTGGCTCTGGAGGGGTGCTGCCTTGTGCACTTTGCTTTGTGTCATCTCTCACATTTATCTTTCTCCCCAGTGGGCTCTTCCTGGCACTGCTGGGGCCTATTGCCAGACCTTTTATCTCCACTCATCCCAAGTTTGGACAAGAAGGAGCCTTGAATCTTTTGTCTCGTTGTGTTTGGTGTGGCAGAATTTGTTAGCCCGTGATCAAGTAACAAATCTGCTTTGCTCTGCAGGAGCCCATCCTGAATATTCATGATCTCACTCAGATCCATTCGGACATGAACCTCCCAGTGCCTGACCCAATTCTTCTCACCAACAGCCACGATGGGCTGGATGGGGTAAGGTTACTTGGCTGGGATCCCAACCCCTGTTCAAACTGCGTGGTTTGCTCTGTGCTGGGCTAGGATATTCTTATTTAATACCAGACTTTTGCCCAGGGGCTGTCAGAGATTGATCTCTCAAGCCTGGAGGTAACACTGCTCTGCAGCCCTTCCTGGGATTTAAGGAAGAGTGCCTGGAAACCAGGAACTATTGTTCCCTTGGCAGGCCTCTAAGTTTTCATTTTTTTCCTTTGCAACTTTTTTACAGCTTACAACTAGTTTGTGAATAAAACATTTTGTATATTTTAGCCAAATATGAAAAAGAGGAAGCTGGAAGACCACGAAGAGACCTTTCAGGGTAAGGCTCCCCAAGTCCCTTGTATTGCTGCCTGCCCCCTGGACTGCTGCACTGAGCCTTGGAGATGCAAACTGTGCAAGCCCCACGTGCCCTGCCCTGCCAGCAGCTGCTGCTCTTGCAGGCCAGAGCCTGACCTACAGATGTTTTGATGTGGAGGGTTGAGGTTCCAGCTCTTAGAAGCATAATTAGTACTTCTCTGATAGACATAAGTAGTACTTGGCTGGACCTTGGCCTGCTGACAGAGGCAGCTGATCTCCTGGTGGCCCTGTGCAGTTCCTCTCTTTGTCTGGAAGAACATTCCAGGCTTTGCACTAAGCTGAGACAGAAACTTGTGCACCAGGAAAAACCCTTTGTGCTCAGCATCCTCGAGCTCTTCAGTCTCATCCTGCTCTGCTTTCTCTCTTTCCCTTCCCTTGTGCTCACTGCTTGTCCCCTGTCCCTCTCCCCTTCCCTACAGGTGGCCAAAGCCTGGCTCAGTCCCTTTCTGGCCTTGTGGGAGATGAGGGAGGCTCAGGTGGCCCCTCAGGCCAGCCCTGGCGCAGCTGTGAGTCCCTGACAATGGGGTTTGTCTCTGCCACAGGTACCAAAGTGTTTGTGATGCCCAATGGGATGCTGAAGAGCAACCAGCAGCTGGTGGACATCATTGAGAAAGTGAAACCAGAGATCAGGCTGCTCATTGAGAAGTGCAATACGGTGGGTGTGGGCCTGGAGCAAGGGGAGGCAGAGGGGTGGTGTTACCCTGGAGAGGTGGGGCTGTGGAAGGAGCAGTTCCTCTGTGCTGCAGAGGAGGAAAGGCAGGGCTTTGTCCTGTCTGACAGGCAGGTGAAACCCTTGGGGAGCTCTGTGGTTCACCTGAAGGAGAAGGATGTCTGTTATCAGGCCTCATGAGGCTTTGCCTTGCCCTTCTTTTGCCCGGGCACAGATTCCTGCCAAGGGCTGCTGTGGCATGGTGAGGAGAGCTTCCCATGGGAAGCTGGGCCTGTGCTGGCTTGCATGGCATCCCAGCCATGTGGGAAGTGATCTTGGAAGTGCATAAAGGACCTGCAGCAGTTCTTCATGAGCTGTGTGGCAAAGGCAGGGTCCTGGGAGCTTCTGCTGACATTCCTGAGAGAAATCTTTGTGCAGATGTTGGCATTGGTCAGTGCTGTGATCTCTCCACTGCAGGTCAAAATGTGGGTGCAGCTTCTCATTCCCAGGATAGAGGATGGGAACAACTTTGGTGTTTCTATTCAGGTAAGGCACTGCTCTGTGCTCCAGACTTGGATCTCTGGGCTTCCTCTGAATCTTTCAGCTCATGATATGCAGCAGCTGCAGTCATGGGGGTGGCTGAGATTTTAAAACCCAAACCTGAACTTGATGTGCTGCTGCTGAGACAGTGCCTCACGAGTCCTGAAGGCCACCTGCAGCCTACTGCAGCTCACAGCTTCCTTGTCTCCCCTGCAGGAAGAAACAGTTGCTGAACTTCGGACTGTGGAGAGTGAGGCAGCATCTTACCTGGACCAGATTTCTAGGTAGGCATGCAAGAACAGACTTCTTTTTTGGGATCTCCTTGGAAGAGGAATGTGTTTGGGAAAGGTCCTCCAGCTGTTTTTACAGGGCAGCTTGGACCTGAAGACAATCCTGGTTGTTTATCTGAGCATCAATCTCTTTCTCTTTTCCTGCCAGATACTATATCACAAGAGCAAAGCTGGTTTCCAAAATAGCCAAGTACCCTCATGTGGTGAGTCAGCGGGGACCCGGAGATGTACATGGCGGGGACTTAGATGATGCTGGCACTCTGAGCTGCTTTGTCACTGTCCTTTCTGAGCTGAGGGTGCTGGGGGAAGAGGGGGAGATCACACAAGGACTGAGCTGAAGGTGGGGGTGCTTTGTGGGAGGCTGGGCTGAGCCCCGTGTGCCCCCCTGTCTGCAGGAGGATTATCGCCGCACCGTGACGGAGATCGACGAGAAGGAGTACATTAGTCTGCGCCTCATCATTTCAGAGCTGAGAAACCAATATGTGAGTGAAAACACACAGCTCACACTGTGCTCCTGCTGCTGCTCCTCTCCCCTTTCCCCCTGAGCACGGCCACTCCTGGGGGAAGCCTGCCTCCTTCCCACTTTGGCTCCAGCAAAGTGCTTCTCCACCCTCTCCTGGAGATGCAGATGTTCCCAGCAGTGTTCACAGGGCCCTAGTGCAAAATATTCCTATCCCCTCTGTGGAAATCTGTTCCTGAGCTCTTCATACAGTACAAGCCAATCCTAGGGTTTCTGAATGAATATTTTTGGTATTACATGTAGTGGCTTCTGTAAGGTCTGGCTGAAGGAAGCCCTTGCCTTAACCAGGTGTGTGGTTGCACAGAGGGGTTGAGGGTGGTGCTGCTGTGGTAACCAGTGCTTATGGCTTCCTGTCTGAGTCCTGTTCTTCCTTTTTGCAGGTCACTTTGCATGACATGATCCTTAAAAACATTGAGAAGATCAAGAGGCCTCGGAGCAGCAATGCTGAGACCCTCTATTAAGTGTCAACGTTTGAACTTGAGAACTGTTCAGTCAACTAAAGACCGTCATTGCCTTGGTTTGTTACGTGACTATCGAGATGGGAAACTGGCTGGAAATAGTATTGCATTCTTAGTTAAACTCTAAAGAAATTCTTGCCTAGTTTTGTGATTGGTTTTGTTCAGGTCTCAGGAGCTCTCCCTCTTCCTCTAGTCACTGGTAGTAGAGGCCATGCTGCACTGGACACCCCAGAGGCTGCAGCAGCCAGGCAGGGACATTCCTTCATGCCTTGCTTCCCACCTGAGTGGGAACAACACTATAGACCAAGCCCTTGTCCTGTCCCATCTCTTGTCTGGTGGCTGCACTGGGGTTTCTGGAGCAGGGCAAACAGCCCAGCACAAGGGCAGCCTGGCAGTGCCACAGCAGGGAAGCTCTCCCCACTGCTGGCTGTGGCCAGGCCCCCCTGCCACCAGCTCTGCACTGACCAGGGACCCTTCCCCTTGGCAGCTGTGCTCTGGTGCCCCTGAGCCATCTGCACTCCCTGTGTGGCGCTCTCCTGGCTCAGCAGAGCCTGCCCCACAGGTCTCTGCCTCACCAGTTCTGTCTGGATCAGTGCAGAGCATGAGGCAAATGCTTGGAACTAGAGCTGGTGCTGTCCTGGCTGTCATGAGCTCAGGTGGCTTCTGCCATTTGACTAGAGCCACTTTCTTGGCTAAAACCAATGTTCTCTCACATACATCCCAGTTGCCCCTTCAGCATGGGTTGCTTTTGCCTGGGCTGAGGGAAGGGAGGGGCTGGAGATCTGATGCTAAAGTCCTAAAATATCTCTGCATGTGATCAGACTGAGTCCCCGTGTCCCTGGCAGTGCTTCCTGGTGCCTGGGCAGAGCAGGCTGGCTGCCACAGCTGGTGCTTGATGGTGAGGGTGGCTGATACCCACCTGGTACCTTGCAGACCTTGCAGTTTTTCCCCTGCAAAGGGCACACTCCCGTGCCTCGTGACTCCTCTAAGCTGCCAGAACATTTCGTGGTCCATTACAAACCCCTCTGGAAATGACTGGTTGTGTTGTGTCAGTTTTTGTGTGTGGCAAGTGGGCCCATAACGCTGCAGGCTTCAAAATTTTTCTTATTTATAGTATTTCTACTTAAGTCCCCTAATCAGGGAACGTTAAATCATTTGTTTCAGGAACCTTGCTGTTTCCCAGGTCTCGCTGTTACACCTGTATATTCTTATTGTGCAGTAGCCTTAAGAGTTGTGTTAATCTCATTGTAACAACAGTGACAAAATTTTTTTTTTACTTTGTTTTTAGTTGGTTTGTTTTTTTTTTCCCTCTGCTTCCACATCTAAGAGCCATGTTGTCTCTTGCTGGTTTCCCAGGGATTTGCCCAGAGTGTGGCGGGCTGCTGGCCCCTGCTATAGACTCTTCTGTTGTTGTTTGTAGTAAGTCAACTCTTAGTCTTCCCTCTAATAAATATTCAGTAACAAACCAACTGCGTTGAGCTGCTGCCTGGGAGCAGCACTTCCCCTTGTGTTTCTTTGTATTGATTCCTTTTCATTTGTTCAGCTTTCTTTGCAAGATGAACCTATGTAAACTTTTACCATGTCAAGAAATTAAAATAAGGTACTTGGAATTCTTTCAAGGCAGCCCCTTGTGTGTGATGCTGGGCTCTTAGGCCGTGCAGTTTTAGTGTCCAGTTCTGGTTCTGCCTTTCTCACACTCAGTTCCTCCTTCCCTTCATTCTCCTCATCCCTCTTCGTTATAAACTAACCTGCTGTGTAGGTTGTTTCTGTTCCATCAGCATGCCTCACGTTGGGCATGATTTTGCCCATGGGCTTGGGATTGATGGAATCTGTCCCATCTCAGCCCAGTGTGGGACTTGGGCTGTCCCAGTTCAAGCAGACATGGTGTTTCTCTGAGCCTGCAGTTGCTCCAGGGTTTCTCTGCCAGGCAGGTGTCTCTGTGGGGCACACACCTCTTGCTCCTGGCTGCTCCCTGTGTGTGGTACCCAAGGAGAGGCAGCTGCCCTGCAGTCCCCAGCCACAGTGCCCTCTGCTCTTCTGGCATCATCCTGTTCCTCCTTCCCTGCGTGCTGGGGCACAGAGGCCTCTCGAGGGGCACTCCAGGCTCTCCTGAGTGTCCTGCCCCCCTCGGAGCCAGCAGAGGGTCCAGGGCTCAATGCCTCTTTGGGGTTTGCCTGTCCTGGTCATGGTACTGCCCAGCAGAGTCTGACTGGCCCTGGCAGCAGCTGCAGACTGGAGCTCTGGCTGTGGCACCTCCGGCTGCCCAGGAACGGGAGCAGCCACTCGTGCAGGGAAGTTCCTGCAGTGTGGGAAAGCCCTGCAGGTGCCTGACCCAGCTGCACACAGAGCTCAGGGCCAAGGCAGCTGGAGCAGAGCCCAAAGGAAGGACTTGCTGGCAGGACTTGGTGTGGTGCAGCACGAGGGGCTCCTCCTCACCCCAGTGAAAAAATCTGCACTCCCAGGGAGCCAGTGCCAGCATCCCACGGGAGGATGGAGCATCCAGGACAATTGTCTTGGCAGGTGCTGGCAGGGAGTGGGGTTTCTCTGGGGGAGCAGGGGAGGGTTTGTTTTCTAGGAGCAGTTGCTGTGTGCAGTCAGGGCTCTGCTTCACCAGTCCTTGAAACATCCCAGCTTAAGTGCAGGGGAGGAGAATAATGGCTCAGCAGCTGTGTGCAGGCACAGGCACTGCCAGCAGCACAGCTGGAATGGAGCAAGGGTCAGGCAGGTCCCACTGTTGTGCTTTGCATAAGCTGACCCCATGAGGTGAGGCATTGAGAGCTTTCTGAAGTCTGAGCTCTGGTTTGGGGCTTGCTCAAGCCTTGCTGGTGTGGGGAGTGTTGGCAGGGGTGTTCCTCCTGTCCCCTTTCCCCAGCTGTCACAGTTACTGTCTCAGAGTTTCCCCAAGCCAAAACCTGTCTGGTTTGGGTTTCAGTAAATTTCAGATGCTATTTTTTGCCACCTCTACCTTTCTGTGTGTGTGGAAAACAGCACTCCCATCTCCCTTGCTGTCTGGGGAACGTGGGCAATTTAACAAATACAAGATGGGCAGTGCCTAAAAGCCACCACGCAGCCAAAATAAAACGTGGGTAGGATGTGAATTCTCCATGGGGTGTGGGTCAGTGATGGGCTGATCACACTGGGGACTGGCATGTGGGAAGCAGTACGTGCACTGAGCAGGTCATAAACAAGTTAGGGAGAAGTTACAAGTTATAAGTTGCTGCTGTTATTACAGAGACGTGCAATTTCTTTAATTCTAGGTTAGCTTTAAGCTGCTGCAGGCTCCTTTTGGAGAGGGCACATGAGCAATTCCATGGTGTGTGTGGCCCCCAAAGATCCCTCATTGCTTTCCATCAGGCAGCTATTGACACAGGTTCTGGCTCTGCAGACTTAGTTAATTACTCTGCTTCCTCAAATTCCTACTGCAAGATGAAGGTGGATTTAGGGCTGTTGTGTTTATTCTGAAACAGCTTTAAACCAGAGCTGGAAATGTCCAGCAGAAACAGACAGAACTAAAAAACCTGTTATCAGACAAGGCCTCCATGGCACAGGCTCTGCAGTGGGGCAGAAAGCTGCCATCCTTGTCCAGCAGCCCTGGGGTGTGTGCTGTGGTTGGTTTGTCATGGGGATGTCAGTACAGATTAGGGTTTCTCTTTCTTTCCAAGCCCCCAACGTGCAGAGAACCAGGAGTGTTCCCACAGTCTATTTCTGGATCTCTCTCAGCCCAGCTGCAGGGTTGAGTTGTGATTTGTGGGGCAGGAAGGCCTGTGGAGTTTTCCTAAACTACTGCTGTGCTGCTTGGAAAGGGCCCTTCTGTAATTGCAGCCTGTGCCGTGGCTTTGAGGAGCTGCAGATGCAAACCCAAGGGGCAAAGTCAAACCTGAACAATCTCTTTGTGCTTCTCAAAGGAAAGATCCACATGAGCTTTGTTCTGGAGCCAGGGAGGTTCTGCTGCAGCCTCACCTTGGCTGTGCTGGTGTGTGTGTGCCAGGAGAACACTTGTCCCATTCCTGGGAGGCAGCAGGTATGTCCTGGCTGTGCTCCAGACCTGACCCAGGACAGCAGAGCTGCTGATCTGTGCTCCAGACCTGACCCAGGACAGCAGAGCTGCTGCTCTGTGCTCCAGACCTGACCCAGGACAGCAGAGCTGCTGCTCTGTGCTCCAGACCTGACCCAGGACAGCAGAGCTGCTGCTCTGTGCTCCAGACCTGACCCAGGACAGCAGAGCTGTTGTGTGTGCTCCAGACCTGACCCAGGACAGCAGAGCTGCTGCTCTGTGCTCCAAGTGAAATGGCCACCATGTTCCAGGCCAAACCCAAAAGGGAATTTTTCTTCCAAGCCTAACCTCAGGTAATCCTTGAGACCTGACTGACTAGGAAGTCAGTGCTGCTTTGCCTTGTTTGGGGCTCCTCAGAGACATTTGATTCTGCTGCTGGGAGCTGATGAGAGCAGGTATTTCTGCCACCTGTGGCTGCTGTGTCCCATGCAGCCACAGCTCTGTTTTCTCTGTGCTGTCCCTGCCCGTGCTGTGTCTGTGCTGCAGTGAGCCCTTTGCTGCATGCAGCAGTGCTGTGGCTCAGCTCTCCTGGCTGGTGAGGCAGAGCCTGTGTGCTGGCACAGACAGGGTGAGTGTGTCCCTGGCCTCACAGCTGCCCTGAGCAAGGCTCAGGCTGCCAGTGGTGCTGAGGATGATGGAGTGTGTCCCACAGCAACGTGGCCTTCTGCCTCCCAGCCTGGTGTCTGAGCACAGGGGAGCACAGGGGAGCACAGAGGGGCTGAGCCCCAGGCAGGATCTGCTGCAGAGGAAGAACCAGGGGCTGGTGGGCGCTGTCTCCCATCAGGGAAATGATGCAAGGAAGAGGAGGGTGAGGTGAGGTGAGGCTGGCAGCAGGAGTGGAAATGTTGGGTTGAATCTCCAGCCATGGTTCTCTTGGATGCCTTGTCCTGCTCAGCACCAGCTCCGGGACTGCAGCCAAGGTGGTGAGTCTTGTCTACCCCGAGCATCTGCTGCGTGGCAGGAGGGAGCACCAGGTCCTGGCTGCCTTGCTCTGCCAGGGCTGGGAGCAGCACTGGGGCTTGCAGGGACTGTCCTTGGGGTGGCACAGAGCAGCTGTGGTGCCCAGCCTGGGCACCATGGCTTGGCAGCACTGACAGCAGGCACTGCCAGGTGTGGGTTCAGGGTCCTTCTCTCCTTGAGGGAACCTCTTGGAAGCTGTGCCTCGGTTTATCTGTGAGCTGGAGGCAGAGACAAAGGCTGGATGATCCTGTGGTAGTGCAGTGCTGGGGATTAATTGGCTCAGAGCTGTTCTGAGGTGCAAACTAAGAGCTGGTTGTTCACAGCACGCTGGGGGCCTGATTCTCATCCTGAACTACATCTCCACGCCTGCCAAAGTTTTTCTGCTGCTACACAGAAGGATGTGTTTTCAGCAAAGGCTTCCATGTGGAAGACTGAAAAAAATTAAATAAAAAGTAACTCCAAGCTTGGAATGGTGTTGCCAGGGAGAATGTTTACAAGGAAGCAGCCTGATAAACAAGGAAAAGCGGTGAGTTGTAAAGAGGTGAAATTGTACAGTGTGGCAACAATTCCCAGCTTGTCAGAGCCTCACAGTGGTCACAGCCACCACAGGCTGACTGCAGAACCTCCGTTTTTACAGGCAGCCTCAGGAAAGCAGGCTGGACTGAAAAAGTAACGGAATTATGTGGAACTTGTCTGAGTCACTGACCCTACATCTCCACAAGTTCTTTCAGGGCACTGCCGTGAAGGAGGACCAAAGAGGCTGCAGCTGAGAGGAGATCTGCCCTTTCTGGTCACCAAGGGTTTCCGATCTCCTCCCCTAGCCTCTCCCAGTCTTTTGTACTTTCTGTGTTAATCCATCCAGTGCAGCATACACTGACAGAGGCAGGAGCTGGAAAGCCTCTCTGAAAGTCTCTGAATGCTGCTGGACCAACCGCAGGCATGAACCTGAAAACCGTGCTCGTCCTCCTTGGTCTGGCATTAGCCACCATCTTCGCTCTGGTCTGCGTGTTGCTGACCAGAGAAAGGACCCCCAGAAGCTGCCAGCACCTGCCCCCGGAGCAGGAGGACACGGAGGACGGGCAGAGCCTGGTGTTTGCTGACCTGACAGCTGAGGAGATGTCGCAGGTGGTGCTGTACCTGCAGGGCCACCTCGGGGTGCCGCTGGTGGAGGCGTCGCGTGCCAAGCCCTCGGAGAACTGCATCGCCTGGGTGGATCTGCAGGTGCCCGCCAAGGCCGAGGTGCTGCGGTTCCTGGACGGCGGCGGGGCCCGTCCCCCCCGGGAGGCTCTGGCCGTGCTGTACTTTGGGCAGCAGGCAGAGCCCAACATCACGGAGTACGTGGTGGGGCCGCTGCCCAGGCCGGCGTACCACCGGGACGTGACGGTGCAGAAGTACGGGGGGAAGGTGCCCTACCACCGCAGACCCACGCTGGCTGTGGAGTACAAGCAGATTGGAGGGTTTCTGAAGAGCCAGGTGTTCCCCTCAGCTCCAGCTTTCATGCAACAAGTACTGGAGTACGACGGAGCCAATCTCGCCGTGGTGACGGCTGCTCCCCGTGGATTCCAGTCCGGGGATCGGGTCACCTGGTTCGTCCTGTTTCAGAACGTGAGTGGATTCTTTGTGCACCCCGTGGGGCTGGAGGTGCTGGTGGACCACAGCAGCCTGGACATGTCGCAGTGGGCAGTGAGCAGGGTGTTCTACAACGGGCAGTACTACAGGGACATGGAGCAGCTGGAGAGTGCCTACGTGCAGGGCCGGGTCAGCGTGGAGAAGGTGAGGAGAGCGCCGTGGGACGGGGATTTCTCATCCATGAAGCCTCGAGCGCCTGCGGCCGCGCTGTTCCCGCTGCAGTTCGAGCCGCAGGGTCCCCGCTACAGCGTCAGGAGCAACCGGGTGCTCTTCCAGGGCTGGAGCTTTGCCTTTGGGATGAGCGTGAGCACGGGCCTGCGGCTGTTTGACATCCGACACAAGGGGGAGAGGGTTGCCTACGAGATCAGCGTGCAGGAGGCACTGTCCGTGTACGGCTCCAACTGCCCTGGGGGAATGTCCACCCGCTACATGGACGGCAGCTTTGGCCTGGGCCGCTACACCTCGCCCCTGGTGCCAGGGGTGGACTGCCCCTACCTGGCCACCTACGTGGACACGCACTCCCTGTCCGACAGCCTGAGGCCCAAGAAGAGGAAGGCCTCGCTCTGCGTCTTTGAGCACAACCTGGGCTCCCCTCTGAGGCGCCACTACTCCAACTTGCAGTCGCTCTACTACGGGGGGCTGGTGAACTCCGCTCTGGTCCTTCGCTCCATCACCACCGTGGGCAACTACGACTACGTGTGGGACTTCATCTTCTACCAGAACGGGGCCCTTGAGGGCAAGGTGCAGGCCACGGGGTACCCAAGCTCGTCCTTTCTCCATGGGGATGGCCTGAGATACGGGAATAGGCTTTGGGAGCACACCCTGGGTACCATACACACCCATTTTGTCAACTACAAGGTGGACTTGGATGTGGGAGGTAGGTCTGGATCTTCTGTTAATGTCTGCCATTGTTCTGATAAGCCTCAGAGCTTTGGGATTTGCCTCCTTGTCCATACAGTCCCTAATAACTCACATCAGAACTCTGCTTCTTTATTCTCCTAACTTCTTCTTTCATTGCAAAATTATTTTTCGATCTATAAAACAGTCTGTCAGGGTCATTGAGTGGAAAGCAGTGGGAATTTCTGGGAGCTCTGTGTTCAGCTCAGGGAAAGTATGAAAGGTAGCAGCTGAAAAATGTTTGTGTTTCCTTGAGGCCTCATGTCTGGCACGGTGTGTGTTGCCATAGGCAAGGCCGGGCAGACGGGAGTTGGCCCTGTCTGAGCACAGAGTGAGCCTGCTTTCACAGCCCTGCTGCTGCTCCTGGCACTCCTTGTCCCCTGGGAAAACCCTCCTAGTGTCTCACTGCCCCGTGTAAAGCAGGGCAGATATCCTGGTGCTCCGTGGGGCTGAGCCCCTGCAGATCCCTCCCTTTCTTCCCTTGAGGAAGCACTCGGGTGTTGGATCCTGGATTGTGAAGCAGCTACAGCAGCCCAGCGAGGTCCCTGCTCCCGTGTGCAGTCACAGCCTGGCAGTGGGTGTCTGCACAGGGTTTTGAGCCCAGGAGCAGCCCCCTGCTCACAGTGAAGTGCTGGCAGCCACCCTGGAAGTGCAGGGATGCTCAGGGGCACCTCTGAGTCCCCCAGAAGGCGATGGCAGCTCCTGCAGTCTGGGGACACTGGGGCCACACCTGGTGCCTGTTGTTGAAAACAGCTTCTGTCAAAGGCAGAGGGAAAATGTTCTACATCTGCACAGGACCAAAGAGGTCGCTGGTGGGCAGTGGCTACATCTGAACCAGCCCAAAGAGAAATGCAGGGACAGGGAACAGGGACAGCCCCAGGGATCCCGGCTGTCTCTGCAGTGTGGAAAGTAACCTCAGAGCTGTGCTGGTCAAGCTGCAGCTAACCCCAGAGCAAGCATTTGGTGTCCTCCTGTGGTGCAGGGGTTTGTGTGGCCTTGAAAGGTGCTGCTGCTGTGGTTACAGTCAAAATCAGGGCTAGTACTGGCTCCTTCCTGCAAGCAAGGCTTGAGAAGGTGCTAAAATACAGTTCCTGTTTGGGGGCAGGGTCCTTTTCTGTGACTTCAACGCCCCTCTGTTTACAGAGGCTGAGCCCTGACTGCTGCACAGCCCTCCTGAGCAGAGCTGTGTAAATCTCAGACTGTTCCTGTGGTGAGAGGGGAGCCCTGTTCAGGCAGGAGGGCTCGGGGCCATGCAGGGAGCTCCTGCAGATCCCTCCCCTTCTTCTCTTGAGGAACACTTGGGTGTTGGATCCCGAGTTGTGGAGCCACTACAGTGACCCAGAGAGGTCCCCTGCTCCTGTGTGCAGTCACAGCCTGGCAGTGGCTGCTCCAGGTGCCTCCAGTGTGCAGGATAAGCAGTAACCAAGCTCGTGCTCTAGTTAATGACACTGTGCTTGCATGGGAGGCAAACCTGTTCTTCTGTCCTGGGGTGGAAGAACATCCCTTGTCCCCTCTTGTCTCTCATAGCCTCTGCTGCAGAGGTGCTGCCCAGCTTGGACAAGTGTCCAGCCCTAGATCCAACATGGGGTGTTGTCATGGCACGTGGAGCTGCAGAGCAGCAGCTGCTCCTGGACAGGGTTGGTGCTCAGAGCCCAGGGAGAGCAGGCACTGTGAGCACTGTGCTGTCCTTGGGGAGCGGGGCACTGTGGGCACTCTCCTCAGTGACTTTGTTTTGGCTCCACAGGGGTGAAAAACTCCCTCGTGGCCCACGACATGGCCTTTGAGATGGCACGGGCTCCCTGGAGCCCAGAGCAGCAGATAGAGCGGCCACGACTCACCAAGACAGTCCTGGACACAGAAGACCAGGCTGCCTTCCGACTCCAGTCCAAGATGCCCAGATACATCTTCTTTGCAGCCAACAGCAAAAACAAGTGGGGCCACCAGCGTGGCTACAGGATCCAGATCACCAGTTCTGCAGGGGAGCACATCCCCGAGGCCAGTTCCATGGAGAGGGCCATCAGCTGGGCAAGGTCAGGCTGTTGTGGCTGGCATGGCAGGTTCTCAGAGCCCCCCTCAGCCCTGCCAGCTGGGAAGGCACTGCTGGATGTCCCTTGATGGTACAGGCCTGTGCTCTGCAGGCTTTCAGGAGCTGATTTAGCTCTGCCCTGCCTCGGGGGGCTGCTCCCCTCTCTTTTCTTGTCCTCAGGTACC